AAAAAAAAAAAAAAAAAGGATTTTATCACCATTTTTTTCTCCATAATCTTCATAAAAATCGAGTTCTTCTCCCCCAATTGAAAAAAAAATATTTGCAGCGATTATTCTCTTCTCCATGACGATTCTTCACTCCCCAAAAATCGAGTTCGCCCCAACATTCTGAATACATTTACGAGCTCACCCTCAAATTATGAAAAATTGGGCAGATGGAACGATTTTCGAGTGATTTATAGACGATTTTTAGTTTTCTGATCGGACACGACATCAAAATTGGCCGAAAAATAGTTTTGAGACAAATTTGCAACACATAATGAAGGTTTTGTATTTATTTACAAAAATAAAAAAGTTAAGTTTTATTTGCAATTACAAAATGTGGGGATTTTATGTGCAATTAAGCCTTTTTTTTTACCCAAACTTATACTTTATTATGAACGAATCAAGGTTTGAGGGCTTATTCTCCTGCAAAGCCGAGAAAATAAATAAGGAGGGTCATATCTCCTACAAGTTTATAGTACTACAAGTCCATAGTGTTCGGTTTTTTCCTATTCCTCGCACTGCGTCTGATCCGTTGCTTTTTTTCCGATTTGTCTATTTTGTATACAAATATATCCGAGTTTTTTCGTAACTAGAGTTAATTTTGAAAAAAATAATCTGGATTTAGGACATTTAGTTAGATTTTAATTTTATATTAAAATAATATTTAAATAAAATAATTAAAGTTGATATTAATGTAAAGTATGAGAGAGATAGTGTGAAGTTGATATTCCTCGTCGTTGAATGCCGCAAACCCGCGAGTCTCATCCCGCGCCCGCGGAATGCCGCTAACCCGCGAGTCCACCTGCGCTTCTAAGCTTCGCGAGCTCTCCCTCGCGCCCGTGAGCGCGTCCTTAAGCCGTGAGTGTCCACTTGTTGATAGCACGTGAATTCCCTAATCCGCGCGCGCGAGTACACCGTTAGCTCGCGAGTTCACTTTGCCAGCAAAATTTACCCGCGGAATTCTAGGTGTAACTCGCTAGTGTTTTTTTTAATGTGCGTATTTAGTGCGTGTTTTTGCCAGTTAGTATAAACTAGTGATCAACCCGTGCATTTGCACGGATAAAAATACGTAGAAAAGATAATAATATAAAAATAAAAAAACAAAAATACATAACTATAATTCAATTCTTGAAAAAAAAAATATGAATTAAGAAAATGATTCTAAATTTAATTAAACATACTTGTTTGTATACAACATTTATGGTTTTCCCACCATCACCACATATCATTATCTTCAAACACTTCTCATTCGTAACTCTAGAAAGAGCAACGTACAACTGTCCATGACTAAAAACAGGGTTGTTCAAGACTAAACAGACGTGTGAGAGATTGATCTTGACTCTTGTTGATCGTCATAGTATATGAGACCATGATAGAAAATTGTCTGCGTTTAAACTTGAATGGTACCCTCAAATAAATAAAAGAATAATAAAATTGTTTGCGTTGAAACTTGAATGGTACTCGCCGGTTCTCGGGTCACCCAACGGGTCGGGCGTGTCGGGCATGTCGTGATCGTTGGATCGCAACGGTCAGCCGGATCCACTTGCAATGGACGAAAATATATTGGCTCGCTAAAAAAAAGGGTCGTTAGATATATCCAACGGTCACATTGATTTGATGGCCCAAATTTAATCTGGCCGTCCCGGGTCCCAAATCGACCAGAACCAGCCCATTAAAAATAAAATAAAATAAAATAAAAATTAAAAAAGGATAAACACATCCTGGACCGGCAGGTTGAAATTATCTAAAATAAAATCCGGAACCGGCCCATCAGTAGTAAGGGGTCGGTTCCCGGGCACATAGGAACGAGCCAGGTCCGGGCCAGTTTACAGGTCCGGGTCTGACCCTGGCCACCTCTAAACAAGGCCTTTGCCATACCCTTTCTTGATCTAAAAGATTTCTTTGGCACATATGCACAAGGATACTAAATTAACATCACTGCTTCAAGTAACTCTCTTGATGGCACCTAATTCTTCAAAATCTTAAAATACATACAACCCATGTAAGAACCCAAATTCCCTTGATAATAAATATAGTTCACAACCTCGTGAAAAAAAGGCCAATCTATAAGAGAAACATAAAGGAGCCCCCTTTTGCCCCTTCATTCTGCACCAGCAAGCAAAACACCCAAAACTTCACCACATAATAACAACAATATAATTATTTTTTAGTGAGAAAAAAAAAAAAACAAAAAAAAAAAACAAAAAAACAAAAAGTAAAGTAAAAGCAAGTCAAGATTCAAGAGTAGCCATCAGGCACACCACCCCTTGAACCACCATCATCCATAATCTCCTTGACATTGGTGATCATCTTGAGCACCTGCCACATGGTCGGCCTCTGCTCGGGAGACGTCAGGCTGCAGATGCTCGCCACCTCGACCAGCATCCTCAGCCGCACATCGTCCTCGTCATCATCGTCCCTCATGGCCCGAACCCAGTCGGGCACGTCCGGTGGCGCCAGGTACGGCTGCTGCTCCGGTGCCTTACCCGTCAGCAGCTCCAACAGCAGCACACCGAATGCGTACACGTCTGATTTGGCCGTGGGCCCTCGCCCAGGAGGTTTCCTGATCTCTGGGGCCCTGTACCCGGGGCAGGATGAGTCCGGGTCGCTGTCCGGAGTTGTGGGGCCCGCGAGGGCAGAGAGGCAGTAGTCGGTGACCTGGGCCTCGAAATCGGGGCCCAATAGAACGTTGGAGGACTTGAGGTTGCCGTGGACAAGCTTCGAGGCCTGGTGGATATAGGCGAGGCCCTGGGCCACATCCTCTGCTATTTTAAGGCAAGAGGTCCAGTGGAGGGGTTTGGCCCGAGTGGATTTCGAACCTGAGAATTCGCAAGTTATGTTTATTTTTCGTTCAAATCAGTGGATACTATAAACTTATGTTCTTAGCTTCGAAATTTTAAATCGATATCATTCAGCTTTAATGCTCGGAAAAAAGCTTCGAAAGTATTATACTTGTGTAATGCTTGCACCATAATGCAACAATCGAATACGATAAAAGTTGCCGAAACAATATAGTACAGCTATTACATAAGAAACCAAAAAATGTCAGGTTGCAACTCGAAGTGGCATATCACCTTGGCCTTTGGAGCCCACTGGACCATATATCATGTTACCCTCTGGCTGTTTATATCAAACACTCTGTATACTTGAAGAAAGCACCATAACTTTGTGTAGAGACCATTCTCTATAATAATGCCAAGAAAAATCTCACAAGCACTCATTGATGATCCACTAACAAGCTTACATCAAGACCACAAAAGCAAAAAGTGTGCAAAAAAGAAGAAGAAAAGCTACTCCAACCCATCTCACCACCACACACCTTTGGTTCACATCCACTGGTCCTATCACTAGCTACAACTATTTCCATTACAATCACTTTCAATCAGTTGCATTTTCAGTATGGTAGAGTAAAACAAAAGTTTAGGTCAACTTATGTATCGCCTAAGATGTTTTCGCTTCAATAATCAGACACCGATTACGGAATTTCAGAAGTAGTCGCTGTAATCACCACGAAAGCAGGGTTAACATGCCAGATCAACTAGAACTCCATCACAAAAATTCAGCTACTTTGCCTAAAAACAGCACTAAATCAACGCAAAAAACGCGGTTTTTCCGAAAAATATTTTACCGTGGATAAGATTGAAGAGACTCCCATTGGGCTGATAATCGTAAATGATCAACCTTTCTTGCTGGGCCTGGAAATAAGCTCTGACAGAGACCAAATTGGGGTGCCTAAGCACACCCACATTCTCCATATACTGCTCGAATTCCTCGCCGCTTGTCACCGTCGTTTTACAAGCGTCCAATCTCTTCACGGTCACAATCAGCTGATTGGCCATCACGGCTTTATACGTAGTGCCGATTGAGCCCCTCCCCAGCAGCTCAGCTGAAGCTCTCATCAGCTGCTCCAATGTGTACAGCTCCTCCTCACCTGAACAGAAAACCAAGTTCCCACTTTTCATCACTCTCTTTTGTTCGATGGGTTTCGATTTCTTGGGTTCGGGGATTTCTGGATTTGCATTTGAGCTGTATGTGGTTTGCTCGGTGAAGTTGGTTTCCAGTTTTGAATTAATTTGTGGTTGAATTTCTTCGTTTTTTTCTTCTCTGCGTTTTCTGATTAGGGCGACAATGCTGAGAACTGCGGCCGTCAGGATTAGGGTTCCGGTGAGCAAGCCCAAGACCATGCCAACATTTTTCCGACGCTTTTTCTGGGCGGCAAGTGAGGCGTCGTTCAGCCCTTGCTGCGACTGGGCGTTCTCCAAAAGCGGCGCCGGAGACGATGGCGAGGCGGCGTCGCCGCCGGATGAGTTGAAAAACGGATAGTTGCGGCAGGGCTTGTTCAGAACCTCGCCACAGAGTCTCGGATTGTGTGAAAATGACAAAATCGTGAACTTTTTTAGGGTTGGGGTGGGGGGCACGGGCCCGGAGAGACTATTGCTCGAGACGTTGAAAACCTCCAGCGCAGTCTGGTTCAACGGCGGGATGGGGCCGGAGAACCGGTTCGAGTCGAGGCGTAGGTAGCCCAGCCGGTCCAGTGCCGTCAGATTCTCCGGGAGCGTGCCGGTGAAGTTGTTGTAGGACAAATCGAGAAGCATGAGGCGGTGGAGGGACACAAGGGAGAGGGGGAACGCGCCGGAAAAGAAGTTGTGGTCGAGCGACACCGTTTTGAGGTTGACGAGAGCGGAGAGGTCGGGGAGGGGCCCGAAGAGCGAGTTGTTCCGGAGGGTGAGGACACGGAGCTGGTCGAGGCGGCCGAGGGAGGCGGCGTCGATGGTGCCGCGGAGGCCGGCGCCGGGAACTTCGTAGCGCACAACGCGGCCTTGGACGCATTTCACGCCGAGCCACTGGCAGTAGTCGAAGCGCTCGTTGGTGGCGTAGTAGAGCCGGTTGTCGAGGTCGGCCTCGGACTTGAACGCCAGGAGTGATACGGCGTCGGGAGGGAGAGAGGTAAGGGATTCAGATGGGTCTCCGGCGGCGGCGGAGAGTGAGAGGGTGAGGAGGGAAAAGAGAAGGTAGTGGGGGAAATGGTTGTGGGACATGTTGGTGGGTTGTTGCTTTTTGTACTGGCGATTACTGGGAGTTTTTTCAAAAGGAATGCATAATGGATTTCTGGAGCAAGTATGGTGGCGGGCGGCGGCGGCGGCGCCGCGGCGGAGAACGGAAAATGGTGGTGGTGGGGGAAATGCGGAGCAGCTGGGATGAGAGTGAGACAGAAGAGAATACTGTGGTCAAATTATCACGTGAAAGTCGAAAAAAGTTTGAAATTTTCTTGTATGGGTAGTCGTGCGGCTCCCTTTTTTTTTCCTTTTTTATTTTCTTTATTTTTTTTATTCATAAGAAGTACTTATTTGTTAGTTGATTTAATCATTATAATTATTATATAATTAAAAAATATCCTAATTTGAAAATTATATGAAATATAAATACGTATTAGTAGAATAACTATTCAACTTTATTATATAACATGAGACTAGTACGATATCTTGTACAACACGGGTGTTGAGTTAAGAAAATATATAATAAAAGTTATTTATGTTTAATATCAAACATAACTCCAAAGCAAAAATAACATAAAAACAACATCACGAAGCATTGATTTTCGTCATGTCTGCATCCGAAGCGTGAGAATCTGCCGCTTAAGCTCAATACGTGTTGAATTTGCGGCGGGTCCCGGCGCCGCAAAAGGCCCGCACTTTTATGTGGCTCGTTGTTAATGACCGCCTTCTCACGAATGTTGAACGGGTCAGGCGCCATCTGTCAAGCTCTGAGGACTGCGATTTTTGTGCTGGCCGGGAATCGATCCTCCATGTTTTGCGAGATTGCCCAGCTGCACGGGTCGTGTGGAATTTGCTACTACCGACAGCGCTTCACGGTGAGTTCTTCCGGCAATCCCTTAAGACATGGTTGCGTACAAATCTCTTAAGAGGGTCGAACGGGTGCGGGGGACAGATGGGCTACCGTGTTCTCGGTCGCCATTTGGATATTATGGAATGGTTGGAATGAGCGCATTTTTCAGCATAAATACATTAGCTCTGCAGCCCGCCACATGGAGATTATGAGCATAACGGATAATTATATGTGAGCTGTGGCGGATTATAGGAAGGTGGGGGTCTCTTCGTACATCACTCGCATGATTCGGTGGTCTCCCCCGGGCCCGGGGTGGATTAAGGTGAACACGGATGGTGCTGTCGACAATCGATCGGGGATGAGTAATGTCGGTGGGCTAGCTCGTGATGAGGTGGGACGGTGACTCGAAGGCTTTCTTTTAAATATTGGCATTTGTTCTATCATAGGTGTTGAGCTCTGGGGGCTTTTTCAAGGACTTCTTTTGGCATGGGAGCTAGGCTATCGAAAGGTTATAGCGGAAATCGATAGCCAATGTGTTCTTGCAATGATATCTCATACGGATGGCAGATTTGGTGCCCATGAACGGATGGTTAAGGCTATTCGTGAGTTACTCCAACGGACATGGGAGGTGCGAGTTCAACATGTCCATCGGGAAGCAAACTTCGCTGCTGATCATATGGAGAGTTCTAACTTAGGCCTGTGGCCTCCTTTTTTGTACCAAAAAAAATATATAGAGAAGAATGTCAACCTACATTAACTAGAAAATGTCTATGGACCGAGCTTAACTTGAATGCCGATTAAATAAATATACAACTTTGTTCACATAGTGAAACAAATCGCGTATGTAATTGTTAAGCTGCCTTACAATTAGGTATGTTTTATTAATTGAGTGACACAAATCTAAACAATCATATTATATATATATATATATATATATATATATATATTTTAAATTAAAAGTGACACTTAAAAAAAAAATAACATAAATAAATAAAAATATGATGTTTGAAGTGGTACCTCAATAAGGTTGTTGTTTATGAAGTCCTACTACAAAATCATCATCATATTTATGTAGTATGTTTTTTTTTTTTTCT